TAATAAAATGGCTTAGCTGAGAGATTCAATCAAACAATCCTTGAAAGGGTTAGATGTATGTTGGTTAGTGTTGGACTGAAGAAGGTGTTTTGGGCGGAGGCTGTTTCAACAACAGCTTACTTGATAAATAGATGTCTCTCGACTGCCTTGGGAATGAAGACACCTGAAGAAGTTTGGTCGAGACATCCACCTAGTCTCGACATACTGAGAGTATTTGGTTGTGTGGCCTATGCTCATATTAGGCAAGACAAGGTCGAACCTAGAGCTCTGAAATGCATGTTCATGAGATACCCTGAAGGAGTCAAAGCTTATAAGCTATGGTGCCTAGAGCCATGTCACAGGAGGTGTGTCACCAGTCGAGATGTAGTTTTTAATGAAGCAAATATGGCTTTCAAGAAAACTGATAATGCTGATAAAGAGATGGAACAGAGAGACATTCCTGTCGAGGTGGAGCATGTTGATGCTGAATTGCGTACCCTAGATGAAGTCGAAGAAGACGCAGCAGATATTGTCGAAGATGAGGAGACTGATAATGACTACCTTCTACCAAGAGACAGGTTAAGGAGAGTCATCAAGCCACCCAGAGACTTGGGTATGCAGATCTTATAGCTTATGCCTTAATCTCTGCAGGTGAGGTTCTAGGTGAATAACCTAGAGTTAAGGAAGGAATCGAAGGAGTGGCGTCAAAGAGATACAAGGCAAGATTGGTTGTTAAGGGGTTCACTCAGAAAGAAGGTGTCAACTTCAATTATGTGTTCTCTTCTGTTGTGAAGCACAGATCCATTCGAATGTTGCTTGCCACAGTGGCACAGTTCGACCTTGAACTAGAATAGATGGATGTGAAGACTGTGTTCTTGTATGGTGAATTAGATCAAACAATCCTAATGAGGCAACCTGAAGGGTATGTCGAAAAAGGGAAGGAAGATTATGTGTGCAAGCTAAATAGATCCTTATATGGACTGAAACAATCTCCTCGACAGTAGAATAGGAGATTCGACAAGTTCATGGCACGCATAAGTTTCATCAGAAGTCAGTACGACCACTGTGTTTACTTCAGATTTTGACTGGGTAATTCATTTTTTATTGTTTTGCTCTATGTGGATGATATTCTAATAGCAAGCAATAATGTCGAAGATGTAATGAGGGTAAAGGTTGAACTCAATGAGGAGTTCGACATGAAGGATCTGGGAGTTGCGTCTAGGATTCTTGGGATTGACATCCGAAGAGATATAAAGCAGTCAAAATTATGCTTATCTCAAGAGGAATACCTACGGAAGGTTCTAAAAAAGTTTGGTATGTCGAATTCAAAGCCTGTTGTGACTCCGACAAACCCTCAATTCAAGCTGAGTATAGATCAGTGTCCCAACACTGATGTTGAAAGAACTTATATGAATAGCATTCCATATGTTAATATAGTGGGTTCTTTGATGTATGATATGGTTTGTACTAGGCCTGACATAGCATACGCAGTAAGTCTTGTAAGCAAATACATGGCGAATCCTGGAAAGGCTCACTGGCAAGCATTGAAGTGGATTTTAAGGTACACAAATGGGTCTCTGAATAGAGTCCTAATTTATGGTGGAGCCTTGAGTAAAAATAGTTAAGCAGCAATCGAAGGATATGTCGACTCTGATTATGCAGGTTGTATGGATTCCAGAAAATCTATTTCTAGATATGTGCTCACTATGTTTGGGACAACAATTAGTTGGAAATCAACACTTCAGAAGGTCGTTGCCTTATCAACCACTGAAGCGGAATATATTGCCCTAACTGAAGTTGTGAAGGAAACATTGTGGCTTGAAGGTTTTGCTTAGGAGCTAAAACTTCAAGATCGAGTTATCACTGTTAAATGTGATAGTCAAAGTGCAATACACATGTCGAATAATTCAGCCTATCATGAGCGAACCAAGCACATTGATTTGAGGCCGCATTTCGTCAGAAGGGTAATCGAGCGTGGAGAAGTCCAAGTGTTGTAGATTTCGACAGATCATAATATTGTTGATATGATCACCAAGACATTGCCCAGTTGCACGTTTTTCCACTGTATGCAGTTGATAAAGCTGCATGAAGAAAGCTAGTTTCTTGATGTTATAGAGTTAGATCCAAGGTGGGGATTTGTGAGATGTTGGATCGAACTCTAGTATGGTCGAAGAGTAGCTTCTAGTTCGACAGGAATTAAGCATGAGGTCGAAGTATGTTCGCATGCTGCTGTCGGAGTAATGCGTGTTATAGTCGAAGTTTGTTCTAACATGCATTAGTCAATATTACTAGGTTTGTTAGCATGTTGAATTGGGTCTTGTTTGTAAGCCTAATGGTTTAAGTTAGCTTGTAACCTAAGTTAGCTTGTAATGAGTAATTGTTAAAAAGTCCATTAGATTAGTGTGTAATTTCTCTTATAAATAGGATGTTAGTTTCTCAATCTTGAAATAAAGAAAAATAGGAAGATAAAATCCTAATTTCAAGAGAGAGGTTATTTTGTTATTCTTATATACTTGTAATCTTGTTCTAAGAGTAAAGAAAAAATAGCAGTTTATAACCAATCCTTGTTGTTCATTGTTCTTTTACTTTTCTTTGTTAACTCTAACTCTTGTGTGTTTCTTGATAATAAAAAAACCGTTATATTTTGTTTCAAAACATCTGATTCACAACAATTTTGAATTTCCTTCAAAACATTAAAAAACACTAAATAATTTGAATTTTTCCTTTAGTAGATAGATCCACGTACATCTAGAAAATCCATCGATAAAGATAACAAAATATATATGCCCAATAATTGAAATTACACGATTAGATCCCTATACATTAGAATGAGTGATATCAGTAATTGAATACTGATAGGAAAGGAAGACTGGACATGTTTCCTAAGCTAATATCAAAATTTTTTTATAGAATCTCAGACGCAATAAGAAACTTTGAATCGTAATTTGTATGAAGGAAATAGGAACTATCCAATTTAAAGATCATCTTCTTTTAATCTTCGCTAGTAATAAGAGCTTGAGCTCGTTGACAAGTGATTGAGTTCGATTAACATAAGACTTCATGATGTCCTCTGTCATTTTGAGGTTGGCAAAATTATGAATGACATTATAGAGACGTTGGACATCATTAAAATAAACATTTTTAGCCATCTGCCAAATATCATAACATGTTGTATATGATTGTATATGAGCTATAGTGACCCAACAAAAAAGGCTAGATGGATTGTCACATAAGAAATACTAATTGCCAATTTGCTTGAGAACATTCATCACGCAACTTAGTTAGATGTTCTGAGAGCTTTTGTTCGATAAACCACATCTCAACTGCAGCTGGCCAATTTAAATAACTTTCATCCTTGAGTTTTTCCAGAGGAGGTTATACAAGATTGCATGAGAAGACAAAGGAAACTAAATTTTTACTTGAAGACTCAAATTTTATGAACTCATCTTGCACAACACTTTATATATATAAAGCAAAACACGAGTTGTTGATGTTGTGCCGAAATGCAAAACGGTAGTAAAAACAAAGGTGGTTGTTGTGTAGAAAAATATAATAGTAGCAAAAAAAATAGGCTTTTGTTGTGCAGAAAAGCAAAACAGTAGCAAAACATAGGTTGTTGTTGTACAAAAGACCAATGGTGGCGCATAGGGCTGAGCGCGACGGTAAATTTTGAGTGGTCGGCCAATATGACGATTATAAGTTGAATAGAATGGCTAATGTGAACAAAAGAATTGTGTTTCAGTGTAATAGTGTTGCATGTGTCTGACAGTGTAATAGTGTTGCATGTATCTGACAAGGTTTTAACGAACCTAAAATCGTTGCTATGATACCAACTTGAGAATTAAAAATTGAGAGAAATTAGCTCTCAACTTTATCTTATTTATATTGAGAATAATACAATGAAAATTCCTTGAGTAAAGATGATAAAAATTAATAGAGAATCAATGCATATCAATCCTAATAATAATTATACAAAAATCATATAATATCTTTAATAAATCATATCATATTTCAACCAAATCATAACATATCTAAACACTATTTGTTTCATAACATAAATAAACAATTTTAAAATTAAGAAGAGAGGTGTTGGCCTGGTCTTAGTGTGGAGGTGCTGTGACATTCCACTATGAATTGGACTGGTGTGCTTAATTTAATATTATGCTAGTGTTTTCAATGTAGGTCATTATTGGCTTTTGCAGATATCTCTTAAGTGCCAGGTTTGCCGCAACAAGTGCAGCTGGCTGTCAGGGTCGGTGTTGGCCGAGTAATGAATTGGTGTTACCTAAGTAGAGGCAACATTTAGTGTCTGTATTTTTTGTATTTGGTGTGGGGCTGTGGTGTTTTCTTTGATGCAACAAAAATTGAAAATACACCACACCTTTCAAAATGTTGAAACTTGTTATTGTTTGTTTTGGTAAAAAAACCAAAAATTTGCTGACAGAGAACCATTTTAAAGACAATTACAACCATAAAAATGACTTTACATCACATGGAAAACATGGATCCTCCATCTATTAGATCACAGAAAAGCTAACATAACTTTTCTCACCTTCAAAACAGAAGATCCATTTCCCATCAAGATTCGAATACAGCCCCAACCTTGAATAATATAAAGGGCCATTCACAATTATCAGAAGTTAAACAATAATGGAAGGGGGCTTCTGTGAGAAGATGCTTCTAAAGGGTGCTTCTCAAAATATCTTAAGATAACTTGAGCTACTAGATTGAAGAAACAGGAACAATTCAATTGACAACAATAAAAGAGTACAAAAACAAGAGCAGTGATCAATACTTTCAAACAAATGTTTTTAAACAAATATACTACAGAAACCTATTAGAACAGTAACAAACAGCACCAACACAAATTACATTTACATCTCTCTTACACAAGAATAGGCTAAGAAAATAAAAAATTGCCTCTAATCCTATTAACGATCATCATCCGCCCTCTAACTATGGCTCTCTTTATCATTAAAAAGGAGAGCAGAAGAGAGTAGTACAGAAAGCTGCTCAAGTCACTAAAGCCTTTGCTTCACCCGCCTCCCATTTATGTCACTGCCATCAAGTATTGCTTCATTCCTATGCTTGCACATAAAGTCCGAATGCTCGGTAAATCTAGCCACGTACTCCAATAGCTCAGTCAGAACAGGCGGGCAACTTTCCTTCAAGTACTCAAATCCATCAGTTTGCATCACAGCTGAAGAACCCAAAAAGGTACACAGATAGTTCAGTAGATAATAATACTTCTAGATGAAAAATTAAAAAGGATATTGATATCATAAGTTTTGTTTAAGCCCAGATAAGGATACAACAGAATTGTGGCGATATCCATCTATAATAACCTACACAATTAGATGTTTTGATTGCAAACGCGATAATAAGACATTTTGATGAAGTGATAACATAGCCTGGAAGAGAGCATACTAATTGTACTATGATCTATGCCATCACCTTTGTCTTCTTTTCAGATAATAATGAATTTTTGGAGTGAGAATAAGGAAGCAGAAAGATAGAATCCCCACAAAAAGGGGTAAAACAGAAGTGTAAAAGTACTTATAATTAACATTTGCTACTACAAATTAACTAGCCACACAACTTGGGAGTAAAACCATGGGCGAACACTGAACTGCATGGATAAATAATTAGTAATAAATGGAAAAGGTTGACCCAAAAGCCAAACCATATGATTCCTTCACAGTTTAGCTTTTTTTTTTCATTGAAACAGTCCAAACAGGAGGGCATAATAGTGACAGGCTGACAAAAGATAACATTCAGCAGTGAATCTAACTTTGAATGATAGTTAGCTTCACTAGGAGTTCAGACTTTTTAGTGTAAAACTTACTCACTGATATTACAATTCTTTCAGTGAGCTATTATGTATAATAAGTTTAGAGAAGAAAAGCACACCTCTGAGATTTTCGGAGGTAGCAATAAACTTGAGACAGACTGCTTTCAGCTGGAAACAGTGGTGCTGCTCTGCCAAGGCTAAAGTCGTTGCCACGGTATTTATGGCAACATCTTCACATAGACTCGCTTCACAGATAAGCCTGAGCCTCTCTAAGGCATACCGATCAGCAGCCGCTAGAAGATGTTGGGCCATCAAGGTTGTTGCCCATTTTGTGTTCATACCGGTAAGCTCTTGCATGTCAGGCAGTGAGTCCCAGTATATAAAATGAAGCAATGCCTGCAAACAATAAAAAAGGCACAATGAAGGGTCACTCAACAGGCATTTCCCCCTGCATAGTTTTCAAACTCAATATTGTCTCGTTCTCATTCAACACAAAGTTTGCAACTTGCAAATGTATTTTGTTACAAAAGGCAAAACAATGGCATATCCTCCTCATCAAATCAACTTTAAAAAACTAGTATAAGTTATCACAACTCAATTTTCTATGCATATTTAAGATAATAAGTAAAATATTAAGTCTTTTACAAAAAAATTAAGTAAACTATTTATTAAGTAATACCTTAAATACTGGAGCTTCCATGTCTTCAACTTTAATACACCGGGTATTGTGATCTTTCATAGGACCAAAAAGTTGGGCTCTGAAAACAGGTGAACGAGCCGCTAGCACCAATTTATGAGCAGTAAAAACTTCCCCATTCACTTCAAAACTCACATCATTTCCTATACCAGTTTCCAGCAGTTGACCAAATTGGTGACCAATGTTAGAAGGTGGTATTGCAATGGAATATATCTTCGGGCCTTCTGTGCGTGACCTAACAACACCAACACTACAATTTACAGAGAGGCAATCATCTTTAAGGTAGTCTGATGTCTCTAAAGCCGTCCTCTTAAAAAACCGCTTGTAACCCCTAAAACACAAGATACAAAATAATCAGCATCAGCTTTTTTAATGTGTACAAAAAACAACACTAATACACGATGTAAGCTACTATCTCCAAAATCAATATATACCAATCAAATGGCATGATCCCTTCCCAACCCTTCTCAACAGCGCCAGTCACCCACACAACACGTTGTGGAGCAGCCAAGCAAGAGACAAAAATATTTCATCCCTTAATCATACAACAAAATAATATTCCATCAGACAAATAGTACAATCAGACAACACCCCGTAATTGTTAGCCTATACTTCATTAGAAAATGATCACACAACTATATCATCAAAAAAACACGTAAGATTAAATCTTCAAAACTCAATACACGGATTTTACACGCAAGGTAACATGATCAAATCAATGACAAGTGGAACAAAATAAAAATTAAATTTTTAACAATTAAACATGAAAAAACTCTAAAAAGAATGGAGATCCTACCACATACTGCCGCGGTATTTTAAGGTGTAAGGCCCGCTTTCAAGAGTCCTCTCGAAATGACTATGAACCTTATGCCTCTCTTTCCCACTCTGATCCAAAAGGGTCAACTCAAACAGAGCTCTAACATCAGTGCCTTCGCTAGCGAGCGCGATGAAGAGGGACACATAGGTAGCATTATCCTCAACACTCTTTCCATCAGGGTAGAAATAGATGGCCCAATCGTACCCACCCACAGAGAATATATCCGACGCGATGTACTTCCCAATCCCGATCCCCTTCGACAACGAGTACCCCGTGATCTTGAACTGGTGAGAGCCTTTCACTGTCTCCGTGATCGAAGTCGACGAGGTTGTCGCCGGTTCCGATGAGGAAGACGGAGAACATGAACTGGATGATGGTTTCGCGGTTTCTCGGAGAATTTTACCCATGCGAGAGCCACCGTAAGGAAATCGGGGAATTTTTTAATTCAATCGCGCGGAAACGTCGTCGATCGAGGGGTTTAGAGAAAAAGAAAGAGATTGGGATCGATGCGGGAAATCTGGGTACTAATTGGGGATCTGAATTGGGGAAGTGAGAGTTTGATGACGAAATCTAGGGTTCTATTGATGACAGTTGTGAGATTCTGAAAGAGGAATTTCTAGGGTTTGGAACGATTTGGGGGAACGAGGAGAAAGAGAGAGAACAAAGAATGACGAAGAAAACACAACTGAAATGACGGATAAAGGCTTTCGGTAATGAAATGAGCATGTCTTTAAATAAGATATTTTATTAAATTTATTAGATTATAAATTTTTTGTGTTTCTCAAAAATATAAAATGTTTTTCGGACAAGTGTAAATAGAGTTACTATTATTGGCGAGACGAGCAAAAGGTATATGAACACTCTTTTTAAAATTTTCTTTAACATCCACTTTTTAATATTGAAAGTGGTTTTTCACTATAAAAGTAATCTCACTTGAAATGATGGGATTTATCTAAGATGGAGTTTGTATGAAGGACTTAAATGGTATTTTTAGAATGTGAAGTTGTAAATTTCAAATCACATTTTCTTTACTGTTACATTTTTTTTTATTTGATGTGTTCTTGACAGTTTGATTAAGATTAAAAGATTTAAACTTAAAATTAAGATTTTTATTTTAAATTAATTAAAAATTATATTTAAATATAAATTGTTTGATTTTGATTTAACGATTAAGAATATATCAAATGTGTGAATGTTAGAAATATTTGATTGCAGTGAATTTCATATTCTCATATTTTAATTTTAAATAAATTATATTTAAATACTTTTTAATAATAATTTATTTACAGAATTTTAAAGATTTGTTGTTATGGAATTTTATATTTCTATAATAATAAAATGTAATCAATTATGATTATCCATATTTATATTATTTTAACACTTTTCTATTTATTTTTAAAATAGAGAAAAAGTAGTATATCTCGTGAAGGTGTATATGTCATTGTTGCTAGCTTATATAAATGTCATTCAATATATAATATATAAATATTAAAATGAAAATCTAATAAAAGTTGACCAAGACTAGAAAGCAAGCAGTGGATTTAATGCAACACTTAGAATTTACTAATTGTTCTTCTCATCTACATTCATCACTTAAGTCTTTATTTTTTTAATGTAACACTTATGATTTAATGGTTTTAATGCAACACTTTTGATTTTATTCAGAATAATAAAAATGTTAAGTTGTAATTTATTTGATATTACATACATCTGTTTTTAGTACATAATTGTAATTAGTTATCTAGTTGTTGATCTTAGATTTTCTATTTAGTGGAAAAAGTCAAATTAATATTGTATTTTATGAAGTATTAAGTGTTAGCATTGACGGACAAGAGTCGACAGTAATGACACGTTGACTGCAATTTTTTGACTGACATCTTAAGATGTAGTTTGGGAGAATCTCAATAGTTTGTCTTAAGAATTAGTTTGAAGGAATCTCGTAAATAGGCTTGAGTAACTATTTGACACCATGTCGAGGAGGGGCCTTCTGACAGACTCTAAACGAGTTACGTATATTAGAAGACGTGTAAATTTTTGTAGATTTAAACTGTTGAATGTAGTTTTCTTAGTTTAGTATATATAGAAGACTCTTGTGTTGTAATAATGGTCACAAAATCTCACATACATTTCTCTATAAAACTGGTACCCAAGACAAAAAGCAAAACAGTTTGTGAGCAATTATGTAAGTTTGTGTCCTTTTTCTTTCTTGTACTTTTACATAATTCTCTAATTGAAACATATTTTGTTCTTGTCATTTACTGTATTTTATTTAATGTTGTTTATTTCAAGTGTGTTTTACTCTAATTTAAGTTTTATTGTCTTTAAAGTTTATTATTACACTGTCTGCAATCAAAACTTTGTAGCTACGTCTTACACTTACGTTATAGTAAAAGTTTTTACATAAAACCAATATCGAGATTTTTCGAGTTAATCTCAAAGATTTTCAAACTCATGATTATTCGCTAAAAACACCTGCAAACAAATTGACACACTCGGTGGGACATGCGTTTTTTGTGCGAAAAAATTATTTTGAAGAAACTGTTGTATTATTTACTCCGTTATCATCAATTTATTTCCAATGTCCGTTAACGCATACGGTTGAAAAGTGGTAAGATTTTTAATGTCTGGGGTCACACTCGTTTGAGGACAAATAGGATTTTAGCAGTAATGGCAAACCCGAAAAATACCTCTTGAGCCCAAAACGATGTTCGAGACTCAAAACCACCAGTTACTACGACGGGGACAATATATACTAGCGGAGTCACATGTCCGATTTTAACTTCGGTTCTAACTTCAGCGTCGATGCCAAGAGTGATGGTTACGTTACTATCAGTAACAAGCGTATCAACCTCTCTAAGGCCTACTACGAAAGTTATGGGGGACTACAACCCCCATATGTCCCTAGTTTTACTACGCCTCTAGTTACTATGGACTATCCTTATGGCATGTCAACTGCCATGATGGCAAGCTTACACAGTTACACTTCGACGTTTGTAGATAATGTTGCGACAATAATGTTACCCCTCAATCCACATTCGACGTTAGAATTTTCCATAAGCAACCCTAGTCGCATTGAGCAACCATAAGGGAGGTTCTGATATACCCCTCCCATAATGCCAACTTTGACTATTAATTCTTTAACGACCATGAGGCAACAAATGGACGAATTTAACCATGAAATGGTAAATATGTTGACACAACAAATAGGTACAATGTTCAATCCTTTAACCCAAAACACCACCCAAAGTTACCAGTAGTTAGTGCATCAAATAGGCAGGATTGCTGACTTTTTTAGGGCGCCCCCGTATTTACGGTGAAATTTGGTAAACAAATACAAGTTTCTATTAATAATTAAGGGATCAAACTCGAAAATCTCTCAGACATATTTTTGTATATTTATTACTTGTAAAGATCATAATATTGTCGAAGTTAGAACAAACTCGTTGAAAAGAAATATTTGTTGTGATCAATTGCAATTAGAAAAATGCTAAAGAGTAAAAGGACTAAATGCAAACCTGTAAGTAAAGTAAAGAATAGACTTTGAAATCGAAAGACAAATGCAGAAAAATAAGAAAAGGTTGAAATTGAAGTGCAAGTAATGTAAGATGACAGGAAAAGTAAAGGAAATCGAAAAGGACTTTAATGCATAAAAAGACTTTTAAGGTAAAGTTGCTGAAAATGTATAAAATGGTGGAACACATGCGTACATCTTTCCCTCACTCGTTTCTAAAGACGTATGTGCTTTGAGTTTACAGAAATGTATGTACAATTGCGGACCCCCTACAAAATGAACCTAAGTATTCTTATATACTACTCTACGGTAATTGTCTAAGAATGGTATACTACTCCTATGGTGACACCTCTCAGGTCCATGCAACGGTTTCCCACGACGTGTTCCCGCGTTTTTCTAAATAATTGTTGATGCTGATGTAGTTCCCGCCTTATGATATTATTTATATTTCTTAATTACTTTGCTAGGTGCTAAGAACTGATTATCCTCGTCGAGGTATTTGACGTCGACCATGTTAAGATAACATGATCTATCGTATTATCCATTGTAATGATGAACTCCACATGTAGCATCCAAGTCAACATTGTTTTCATTATAGTGATGAACTCCAACCTTAGCCAACATAGAATAGTATTCAATTTCACTAAGTCTCTAAGTTCCTCACCACATCCTTCGACCTTGCCACATTGGCATAACTTCACGTGACTTCTGACCTTTAGTCACATTGGTCTTCATGTGGACTCACTTTATTTTACCCTTCCATGTGGCATACTTGTGCCTAATCTCATGATATTTGCCATTTATAGTCAATTCCGAAAAAAATCCAGTGTAACAAATTTCTCCCCCCAAAGGCCATGTTTCGATTTGCATCAAACAAGAGAGACGTGGCTTTTTTTATCTCAAATTTTTGATGTCATTTCATTTTTTCTGATATCGTCGTCATCATTACCTTTTTATGGCGCATTTCCATTTTCCATGAGTTTCGCTCAAAATTTCATCATCACTCATACTTCCTAGGAAGATGTGGGTTTTCACGTTTCCACATTTGCTCTCACTCCCCCATTAATGCAGGGTTTCAAAAACCCACAAAACCTTTCAATCATTCTCACACGTCCTTCAGGTTTCCAATTTAATACATGCATTGAAGCCTATAAATACCCTTTCTCAACTCCTTTCTTCCTTTTCTTCATTTTGTCTACTCGTACTCTCTCTTTCGCACAGAGCTTCAAACCCATTTCACAATTTTTTCTGAAAACATTTTTTCTTCAAACATGTCCACTAGCCAAATTCCTTCTAAGTCTACTATTAGGAACAATTCACTTGCCTTCATCACTCCCCATAATGAAAGTGAAGAATCAGGAGACTTCATCCCCAAACCCTCCTTCGAGAATGACAAAATTGTCATCTGGGCAAAGCAAATGTTGATCCCTTACTCCATAGACAATAAGTTCTATGCCTTCTCAATACCTTATCCCATTAAGAGGTCACAAGCCACGAAGCTCACACGCCTCTTCTCAGGTTACTCTCTTATTAAGCCTTATGCGTTTAAGCAACGTGCTTTTGACCTATCTTTCATAGTCAATCCCAATTGTGTATTGAGATATACTCCACCCACAAACAAAGAGTATTTGGCGTGGCTTAACAACGTTCAAGCCAAGAAAAAGTAGCATTAGGAGAAACTAGGCATTTATGACATGGTCAAACTATATGTGACTGGCCCCAAATACAACCCATGCTTGTTGTTCGCTTCGATCTTCTTCTGAGAAGGATCGACCAACACCATTCAGTGATATACTGAAGATTCTAAAAACTTCATTCCTACTGCAACAAAGTTCTGAAGATTCTAAAGACATCATTCCTATTGCAACAAAGTTCTGAAGATTCTGGAGTCAAGGT